GTAGCTGGGGCGGCAGATGCAGGCGTTGTCCCGGCAGGTGCCCCCGTGCAGGCAGGGGCTGGGGTGCAGGCAGAGGTTCTCCTCCCGCTCACAGTGCGGCCCTGGGGACACGGGGGACACGGGTGGGTGACACGGGCAGGCCCGTCTGCTGCTCTGGGGTTTGCTCGTGCACGCACACACGTGCACAGCACACACGTGCAGACCTGCACATGAACTTGCAGACCTGCACATGCACAACACACACACACGCACATGCAGAGCACACACATGCACATACCTGAACACACACGGACACAGACACACATGCACACCCGAGCAGAGCACACAAATGCACACACGGATGCACACATGAGCAGAGCACAACACACATGAGCAGAGCACACACACACGGATGCACACACAGATGCACACACGAGCAGAGCACACACAGAGGCACACATGGATGCACACACAAGCAGAGCACACACATGCACAGACAGATGCACACATGGATACACACACGAGCAGAGCACACACATGCACACACAGATGCACACGAGCAGAGCACAACACACACGAGCAGAGCACACACATGCACACACAGATGCACACACGAGCAGAGCACACACATGCACACACAGATGCACACACGAGCAGAGCACACACATGCACACACAGATGCACACACGAGCAGAGCACACACATGCACACACAGATGCACACACGAGCAGAGCACACACATGCACACACAGATGCACACACGAGCAGAGCACACACATGCACACACAGATGCACACACGAGCAGAGCACACACATGCACACACAGATGCACACACGAGCAGAGCACACACATGCACACACAGATGCACACACGAGCAGAGCACACACATGCACACACAGATGCACACACGAGCAGAGCACACACATGCACACACAGATGCACACACGAGCAGAGCACACACATGCACACACAGATGCACACACGAGCAGAGCACACACATGCACACACAGATGCACACACGAGCAGAGCACACACATGCACACACAGATGCACACACGAGCAGAGCACACACATGCACACACAGATGCACACACGAGCAGAGCACACACATGCACACACAGATGCACACACGAGCAGAGCACACACATGCACACACAGATGCACACACGAGCAGAGCACACACATGCACACACAGATGCACACACGAGCAGAGCACACACATGCACACACAGATGCACACACGAGCAGAGCACACACATGCACACACAGATGCACACACGAGCAGAGCACACACATGCCCGGGCCCGCACGGGGAGCGCTGCCCGCACTGCCCCAGCCCGCGGCTCCGCACGAAGCCCTCGCTCAGCTCCAGCCGCTTCCCGTTGATCGTCACCTGCGGGGGCGCAAACACACACACACACGGGTTGGGGAGGGGGTGTCACCCTTCTGGGAGTGTCCTCCCAACCCCCACACCCTGCCCGGGGCACCCCACCCAGGGGACATCATCACCCAGGGGAGCCCACCAAGAGGAACCCACCGAGGGGACCCCAGGGAGGTGACCCCCCGAGGGGACCCCACTGAGAGGACCCCACTGAGGGGACATCACTAAGGACCCCACTGAGAGGACCCCAGCGAGGGGACATCACTAAGGACCCCACTGAGAGGACCCCAGCAAGGGGACATCACTAAGGACCCCACTGAGAGGACCCCACTGAGAGGACCCTGTTGAGGGGACCCCAGCAAGGGGACATCACTAAGGACCCCACTGAGAGGACCCCAGCGAGGGGACACCACCAAGGGGACATCACTAAGGACCCCACCGAGGGGACCCCAGCAAGGGGACATCACTAAGGACCCCACTGAGAGGACCCCAGCAAGGGGACATCACTAAGGACCCCACTGAGGGGACCCCAGCAAGGGGACATCACTAAGGACCCCACCGAGGGGACCTCAGCAAGGGGACATCACTAAGGACCCCACTGAAAGGACCCCACTGAGGGGACCCCAGCAAGGGGACCCCAGCAAGGGGACCCAGGTGTCCGGGCTAGGGGTGTCACCTCTCCGATGCAGCCGCGGAAGGAGGCGTTGGTTGGGGGGCGCAGGGGGGGCTCAGTGCCCCCCAGGTACAAGGGGCTGTGCAGGTTCAGGCCTTGGCTCTTGCCGGGTGACGAGCGTGTCACCGGGGGGGCATCATCCACCACCAGGGTCCCGTCCTTCTGCACCCGCTCGGCTGTCACCGTGTGCCAGCGGCCCAGGGCCACCGGCTCGGCGCTGCGCAGCACGGCCATGCCTGCGGGGACACGGTGCTGGCATCACGGAGGGGTGGGGGGCACCAAGGGACAGCAGGGGACGCTAAGGGTGTTTGGGGACGTGGGATGTGCCCTTGGGATCCTGGTGGTGACGGGGGAGCCCGGTGGTGACAGAGGACCCTGGTGATACCAGGGATGCTCAGGGATCCTGGCAGCACCTAGGGACCCCCGGAGATGCCAAGGGATCCTCAGTGACACCAGATGACCCCACTGATGACCAGGGACCATGGTAGCATCTGGGGAACAAAGTGATGCCCGGGGACCCCAAGGAACCATGGTGACACTGAGGGATGCGATGCCAGGGGACCTCAGTGAGACCCAAGGAACCCAACTGATACTTGGAGACCCAAGCAGTGGCAGGAGACCCTGGTGACACCAAGAGACCCTGGCAGTGGACCCCAAGGAGGCTAAGAGATCCTTGTGACACTTGGGGACCCCAGGTGTGGTAGGAGTTCTTGCTGATTCTTGGGGACCCCAATGACACCAAGGGACCCCAGTTGTACTTGGGGACCCCAATGATACCAAGGGCTTCTAGTGACATTTCAGGACCCTAATGACACCAATGGATGCCAGTGACACTTGGGGACTCCACTGACACCAAGGGACCCCAGTGAGACTTGGAGCCCTCTGTGGTACCAGGCAACTCCACTGTGTCTCAAGAGACCCCAATAATGCCAGGTCACCCCACCTATACCCATGGTCACCAGTGCCCCCAGGCCCCCTGTCCCCCTGCCTGCCCACCTGAGCCCAGCTCGTAGCGGAACTCGAGGTGGCCGCCGACCATGGCCAAGGCCACGTAGTCCTCGACGGGGGCGGCTTTGCCGGCGCTGAAGAGGAGGAGCCCGTCGGGTGCCCGTGGCAGGAACTCGGCCTCCACCCGCAGCTCGTGGTGGACGTTGGTGAGGGGTGGGTAGGAGACGAAGGCGCCCACCTCCTCGAAGGACGGCACCGTCACCGCCTCACCCGCCCCAGCCCCCTCCGTGCCCGGCCCG